AACGTCTCTACATGTACAGAACTTTCGTTGTATTTGCATGTTTACAGTAGTTTGGCTATAAAGCTCCAACTCTTGCATCGCAGAAGGAACAACTTTGCTCCAAAAACAGACTTGTATTTGTCTTGTTCCTCCAAGTTGTGCGATGGCCTCTTGCACGATATGTGCCATAAGTCAGCTCCCACAGTGGGAACCCATAAAGTAAGGTAAATGTTTTATGCTAAAACGCTTTGTCTCCGTCAAACAACCTTTTCTTAATTACCACATCTGTTAAAGTCACGTGTGCCGGGAAGACAGCGGAGTCAATCCTTACGTAATCCTGCCATTTAACTCTCATTATGCTCCTAATCACTTGTTTACTCAGTTCAACGGTCATTTCTGAGCATTCGTTAAAATAGCTGAATCCATGCCACACAACAATATCGCTCTGACCAAGGCAAAGTATATGCTGACTTGTATGGAAAGAATTACATTTCTGAGTTTTTACCTCTTCGTTGCTCTCGAAGTGTTGTTGCGTTGGATTGATTCCTAATGACGTGTAACGTTTTATGTAGCCGTGTTGTATGCTGAAGCAGTCAAGTAACCAAGAGTTTTTTTCACATACTATACTTCCGGACGGTATTGTATTTTTTGTGTTGCACGTTCAGCGATGTATCTGGAGAAATGTCTTGAGTAGTGCATCCTTTGCAGAACGAGAGTTTTATTTTGTCTAACTCAGCGCTGTTCCGGACGAGAACAGTGCTGAACAACATATGCAGAAGTTGACTTCTCTCACGGATTCCATGGCTGACCGAAACCAACCAGGTTCCATCTTTAGTCTTGAATAGAAAATTTTATTCCTCCAAATATCTCTCACAAAATGGAAACGCTGTGCTTATTCACTGTAGATGGAGTAAACGACTTAAGAAATTTGATAGAGGCAAATGAATGCAGCTTTAGAGTCAGTTGAAGTAATAAATTAAGGCAATTGAAATTTGAGAATTACTTCAGTGATTTAGCGTGAACTAGCGCGATCCATTGTGACTAAACCAGAGCTCAGTCTGAAAACTGAGCTCTCGGTGTTCAAGTCGATCTTTATCTTCATGCTGAAAAGGTTCGATCCCGGGTACAAGGTGCTGAAACGGGTTTTCCTAGACAAGTAGCTGGTCATGTTTTTCAGATTGAGAAGTCACAGCTGCGATGGCTTCAGCTCGTGTTGCGAATGCCTCCAGAAGGGTAGGTTAAGCAACTGTTTCTTGTCGATCCGACCGGTAGATGGCCCAGGGGACGGCCAAGACTAACCTGGTGCAAATACATGGAAGGAGTCTGTTCCAGACTCCAGTTATCTTATGCCGAAGCTCAGACTCTGGCAGAGGATCGGGAACGTTGGAAGCTCTGTCTGACGCGTCTGATTCTACGACGTGAAAGGAGAAACGGTTATGGTTTATGAAGATGAATAAGAATGATGTCCTTAATGTTTCTGCTTAGGCTTGTAGAAGAGTATCGTTCTGCTAAATAGCCTAAAGGATTATGTCTGTCCAAATTTCCAACCCGTCGTTAGTCACCTCTTATGAAATTTCTGACAGATCTTCCTAGTCAAGAAGGGTACACCCGGTCGTACCTCGGCTCCTCAAGCGATCCTATATATTGGTCGTTAGCAGTTTTAAGAGTAGAAATGGGAAGCGCAGAAGGGAGAAGGTTTCGTATTCAAATGTGGTACTCATAAGCAGATTTGAAAGACTGCTCAAATGCCATTGTTTCAGATATCATCAACATTGACCATCATAGGTCGACATGGTTATGGTTCTTGGGCAACGACTGTTAAACTTTGTATGCTTGTAACTACTTCTTCTTCTGTCTGGTGGCTAGGGCAGATGACGTGACCAGCAACTGTTGTCAGTTAAGACGAAGGATTGCTTGAGCTACGTTTCACTGCCGGGAGACGACAGTCGTGAAAAGTTTTGACATACCACCATTACACGTAACAAGATCACTATTAGAGAGTCCTCGTTTTGCTTCCTCGTCAGTGACTCAGACACAGGGGATGAAAGTACGAAAAACGCTTGCTGAGTATAGACATTAAAAATTAATTGCAATGAGATTTTGACACGTATTGTAAAAACAATTGGACACAACACGTCACGCGCCAGTCGAAAATGCTGGTGAGACGTGACCGTACTGACTTGAAGTAAGTCATCGCTATTCGTTAAGTGACATGACTCACATCAGGCCTGTTTCACGATTTTTCGACATAAACATAACTGCCTTTAGTCCTCATATATCATGATTAAAGGTTCAGCACCATTTAGCCGTTGCTGTCGAAGCTGTTCTGATAAGATGGTCGTTCAGTTGTTGGCTTATTGGGTAATTGAGATAATAGCACTGACCTACAGTTTAAACGATCGAAGGACTACGACGATAAATTATCTGATGAAAATGGCAAAGTCACAACCATTCATCTTCGGAAACAAGCTGGTCATGTCAATATTAATATTTGTTTCTTAACAAGTTACCCCGATGTATCATTGCGTCATTCATATCTTACGCTCAGAGTAAGTTTGTCGGCGAGGCACTTCATCATGTCCGTTTTATGGAGGTAAACAGATTGTCTCCAGTTCTTGAGTTCGAGTTTGCTGTTAGCATATCCTTCTAGACAGCTTTGATGTAAATGTCAAAAGGATATATCGTCGCTCGTTATGACCTAACCTCTTTGTTTCTGTTTCTAAGTACTGAATCCAACAAACGGGTGAAACGTGGCCGAGTCTATACTCCTAGGCCAGCAGAGTAACCATGAATCGACTGATGTGAATCCGTCAAATGTCATCTACCAAGATAGAGCTGTTAACAGAACTCTGTGTGTCTTTAACGCAACCCTGTGTAATTAAAGCACGTTCCAATCAGAAACCTAGGTAGAAGAATCAGGGGGTCATCTACTGGGTTGATTCTTGAAGAAAGCGTGAGGAAAATTTTCCTCGCCCCTCCTTCCTCTGAACAAGGGGTAACTACTGTTAACTTAACCACTATTTAATAAATGCGTTAAGGCTTAACAACAATGACTCGTGCCGTTTCATTTTACCAATCACTGCTATTTTTATTACAATATTCTTGTCAGCAGATATCCTACTTTATCGTAGATTCGGATTCACCGTCGCCCATATGATAATTTTAGCGACGAATGTAACGAATTTTCGGTTTGAAATAGTGAAGATGTGAATGATGCAATTTGAACCGTACTGCTTTGCTGAATATCTGGGTCTTAGCATAGAAGCTTCTACGTCATTTTCATTTACAGGGATTATCCATGAAATATTACTCGGTTCCTTCGCTAATCTCGTTCATCAATTATCTTCTGCAGTTCAAAGGATAGACGGTAGAACGGAAAAGATTGTCGTGCTTATTTCTGGAATTAATCCACATAGTGGTTGCCTATTCTTCCAACTCGGTTAACAGTCAAACTATGCTTTCCTCAAACTGCCTCAGAAAGCGTCAGGACTCAGCAGACTGCAGATATCACTGATGCGTTAGATTAACACTTTAGTCCAAAGACATTGGTCTCGATACGCTTTTCCGAACGGTGGCATGAGACTTACCTGGGTGGTTTTTTTTTCATATTCCTCAATATTCTTCCCCAGACATAGTATTTAAAAGATGTCACGTATAAAATCTGCCCTGCTGTCTTCGTCGTTAAAAGCAGTTTTGAAAATTTGTTCGTTTCAATTTCGTTTCAATCGTTCGTTCGTTTCAATTTCAATTTTCTAGAATCACAAATAGACTGATGCCCCCTGGAAATCAAGCTGTGTATGTTTCAGATTTCTGTATTCTTGTTCTAACATAAAACAAAATCATAGAGCCTGTGAGCATCAGTAAAAGAGTGACTCAAGTTTGGCTGCGGCGCATGCGCTAGTAAAAGGAGGAGGAGATCAAAAGACGAAGTTCAAAACGAGTGTCTTCCGCCATGTAGAACTGTCGATAAGCTAAGTTATCCTGAAGGTTCCCGCTTATCAAAAATGATCGGCTATGGCTGTGCCTATGCGAAGGTAATCTCATAAGTAATGTGTGAAAAAATGATGATCACAAGAACTACACAATTTATTAAATAGTTTTTACACAAGGCTTCCATGCTTCGACCACAACCGTCGTCTAAAATTCAACGCCATCTTCAGAGTTCGATATGAAATCAAGTTTTGCAGACCATTTATGTAATGCTGGTGTCAAACCAAGCGCAGAAAAGAACAGCCAAACACAGTTTAGTTTCCAGCTTTGCTATCCCTCGGGAAAAAGATTAATCAAGATGACGCATCCTCATTGACTGTTTCAAAGGCAACACAATCGCTGTAATCAATCTTTGTCAAATGTAGATCAACTGAAAAGACTACCGCTGTTGTGTTCAACGTGAAGCCTCACAGTCACCCCTTGAAACACGCCTTACGGTAAAAATTCGACCGGTGTTCGCTCAGAGGACTCGGCGACGGCCAGCGAACGAATCTGTCAAGTCCTTACCGATATGGGCCAAAGGCTTGTACGAAACCAGGTCCTGCGTGGCATCAACCTGTACCACATGCGGCAATTCAGCCAGGCAATCGAAGCTTGGCACGGCGCTCTATCTCAGCTACGTAATGCCGATGACAAGTTCATCACCCATGGCTACCTCAGTCAGATCTACTACGAAATGGGCAATTTTAGGTACGTGCCAATTTTGCGTTTTAGTAGTATACGAGGAGAGCGAGTGGAAATTTTAGGTTCATGCTCGATCACGCACTCAGTCAGATAGACATTGCTGAAGAGCACGAGGACTTGAAAATGACGGCTGAGGCATACCTTAGCATCTCGCTGTCAAATCAACGCTTAGCTTGTTTCCATAGAGCGATTTTTTACGCTCGTCTCTGTATGAAGAGTGCCAGAAACGACCCAGAACTCACAGGAACAGCACATTTATACATGGCTGTTTCCTTCACGGCCCTCGGGTTCTTCAACAGAGCATTGGAGATGTTCAATCGGGGCCAAAAGATTGCTAAGAACAGTAAAAATAGTCTCTTGGAAATCCGGATCTCGCTTGGATTTGGGACGCTGTTCACTGAGCTTGGGGACTTCAACAAAGCGGTGCGATTCGTAAGAAATGCTCTAATCCTCATAGGCATGCTGTACTTCGACGATGTTCGAACGAAATACAGAAGCTTCGCCTTGTGCCACATGGCCACCGCTCTGAGGAAACTGAACAAGTTCAAAGAGGCTTCACAGCTGATTGAGGTTATTACGTCATTAATGCCTCAAAATTTCGCTGCATCGCATGCTTTCAGACCGCCCGCGAACTCGCCTTGAAAATTTCTCACCAGCCAATCTATACCAACTGCCTTCTGATTGTTGGAGACATCGATCGAGACCGGAAAAAGGATAAGGTAATTACAGCGTGAATATAACAGTACAATAGCAGTAGCTCAGGTTCATCAAAGAACAGAACTTGAACATCGCATTTCCCGTTTATTAATACATTGTTTTTTCAAAAACTTACTTTAATTACCGCTATCTAAGCCGTTTTTGTCTTTTAGTCTTGCTGGGCGGCATATAAGGAGGCAATGGAAGCACTAATCAAGATGGACGATAAATACGGACAAATGAAGGTACTAAATAGCATGGCCAAGGCAGCTGAAGAAGATAATATGGACAAGGTACTTTTTCGGTGACTGCAAACAACACTTTGTACGTTCAGACATGTAGTGGAAAACTTTGCACATAAGAATAGGATTGGCATATTTCCAGCACGTTGTTCGGTGTAGTGAAACTTAGCCACTTTCCCTTTGGGTACTGCTGCTATCGAATGCCTTACCGGCTCGTTTGTCTCCCGAAACACCATACGCCGAACGGCAGTTGAGAAACTGAGGCAGACTGTGAAGGATCGACGATTAGAACCTGCTCACCGCCTTCTCGCAACCGGGGACATAGTAGGACAGCGACTGAAGAAGATCGACAAAACGACGATGAGGATATCCGTAAGCACCGGAGCTGCTACTCGTTCCAAACGGACGAGGTAGAGAGCGCGATGCCGTTATAACAAACCAGATGAGATTCCGCAAGAAAGAAACCTACAGCTGGCGCTCACAATCAGGAACTGGAACATCTCTTCACTCAGAAATAAAGCAGGAGCTAGTTGATGAGGTCGAAAAGAACCAACTCGACATAGTTGGACTTTCGCCAATGAAGCGCCTAGGCTATGGAATTCTGAACCTCAGTGGGCGGAGGCTAGTCTACTCAGATGTCGACTCAAGACACACGCTCAGGACGGTGTTGATGTTTTGGTAGTACCCAGCCTGCCAGTCGGAACCGTTCAATGGAAGTCTGCTAGCAGAAGAACTGAAGTTATAACAGGCTAAAGCCTTGACATTGTTCGTGGACTATGCGCAGAGAAGAGGAATGCTTTCTGGAGCAAGCAGAAGCTGGTCTGTACGACTGCTGAATACTGAATTCATCATTCTAATAGGCAATTTCAATCAGCAACGTGAAAAAGCATGATTACAAAGAACGAACCTTGCGACCTTAATAATAACGGTATGACGCTGTGGCGCCTTTGTGTAAACATGCAACAGTCTCTTATAAGCAGCTTTCTAAGACACAGCAACGTATGTCAGAATACCTCCCATGGAGAGGTTTATGCAAGGAAGTCATTAATCGATTTGATAATCGTATCGTCTGACTTACGACTCTCCGTAATGTACGTTCGCATTAAAAGAGGTGTATAACTGTCAATCGATCATCACCATGTTGTTGGCACTCTCTGCTGTAAACGATGAATATCATGCGAAGACCTGGCGGCAGAAGCAATCAGACCGCCGAATGCGAAACACTATTTTCTGCGAATGCAAAGGCAAAAACTTACAAACAAGATCGCACGACGGTTTGAACAGATCTTAAAGATAACCACTGATGTAGAAATCGAGTGGAGGCTGTTTAACCAGCGGCATACTCGAGGCTGCTGCCGAATGATGCGGAATCAGCCGCGGGTTGGCGTGCCGCCAGGAGGCCAGAAACGAACTTCCTGCTGAACACCAGAGACAAAGCTGACTGGCAGCGAAGAAAAACTGCATTAAACAGGGAGATGGCTTTTTATTCGAACAGCCTTCAACTCGAATCCGGTACACAGAAAGGCTCAGGGCAGCAGCGAAAGTAGTGGCCAAAAAGAAAGCTGATTCATGTTAAAAATTGGTGAGATGCTGGAGTCGAATTTCCAGACGGAAATAAGGTATTCTTGCACTCGTCCGTCAACTTCGAGGTAGAAGGAAGAGCAGTACGAGAGTTCTGAAGCAAAATTCCAGACACCTTCCTGCCAAGGAGAAGTGTCTACTTCGCTGATGCCGAGAGCACTTTGAAGAACGATTTAACCATGAGAAGCAAAGCTCCTCTGAAGAGCATGAGACAACAGATACTGATTAGTTTCTCAGTAGGCGAAGCCGTAGCAACTGTAAAATGCTTATAACGCGGCCAGGATAATGCAATCGGTGAACGTCGTACTGAGACGCTTGAGACTTTAGGCAAACAAAGGATGTTGCTGTCAAACTGCAATGACTATCGGAAAGGAACCGTTGGACTAAAGAAGTTTTAGAAGAGAGACCATATGCAATGTTCTAATTAGTGAAGCAATGGCTTATGGAGCTCACAGGGAAAGTCAACACAAAGGTGTTAGAAAGTAGATGAGGCAAAGAGTGGACTCTAACCTGTATGAAGAGCAGTGTGGCTTCAAGTCAGGCTGAAGCACCTCTGACCAGACTTTCCCCTTGCATCAGATTGATGAGACATGACGTAAGTTTCCACAGCCTTTACGTTTGCTTTGTTAACCTGGAAAAAATCTATAACAGAATTCTGCTCCACAGATTGCTATTATCGTCATCGGTTTGGGTATCAGGATTAATGATCGTGGACCCACATTAATGACGTCTGACATATTAGCTTTTCTGAACGATTTAAGCGATGTTGGTTGCTGCGGCAAGGGTCATATTTCTCTTAGCAAGCATGTTCACTTCTAGCAGCTGTTTTAGGAATCGATGTTGGCCTCTGACGCACCTCCGGCCATCTTTCGCTGAGGGGAATGATATTCGATAAGTATGCAGTCTGAGAAGTCTTTCTGAATGTTTCTGTCAAACACGGCAGCCGCCGGTCCCTAATTTCTTCAGACAGCATTCTTGGGCCGGTAGTTTTAAACTTCTTTTCATTCTTTATTCGATGGAACCATCGCATTTTCAGAATGTTCCGCAGGCAGGGCTGCTGGAAAGTGTCAAACGTCTTTACTCGGCACTTTCAAAAGGTCGATGTTTCAAGGCTGTGCATCAAGACTGAAAAAAATGGCCGTTCAGTGTGGTGATTTTGTTGCTGACCGTATCCGTATAAATTGCTCTTGTCACACTTTAGGAAGTCTCTGGAAGTTCAACATTACGGCCTTAAGAGCCACTTTATTTTTAAAACGC